CAGCGGTTCCCCGTCGTTGGGTCGAGATAGTACCGGCGGATGAGACAGGCTCTGCTTCAGATGGCGAAGTGCCTGCTCGCATTCCTCATTCCATTCGAAGGCTGCTTCCTTTCGAAGGAGTTTGAAGAAGGGGAGGGCGTGCTGAGCGGACTTCGCGACGAAGCGGGACAGCGACGTGAGAATGCCGTTCATGATTTGTATCGACTTCTTCGACATCGGTGTTGGGAGGTCGGAGAATGCCCGGCATTTGTCGGGGTTGGCTTCAATCCCTCGTTCTGTTAGATAGAATCCAAGGAATTTTCCTGCCTTAACCCCGAACGTGCATTTCTCGGGGTTGAACCTCATTTTGCACTGTCTTGCTTGGGCGAAGACTGTCTTGAGATGAGCTGCGTGATCGGTGTCTGCTCGGGATTTGACGATCATGTCGTCCATATAAACCTCGAGCATGTCGCCGATCTGTTTGTTGAAAACTTTGTTCATCATGCGTTGATAAGTTGCTCCGGCATTTTTCAGTCCGAAGGGCATTACGTTGTAGTAATAGTTGCCCGAGCTGGTCATGAATGCCATGCAGTGTTTGTCGCCCAGGGCCATTGGGATTTGGTTGTATCCCGAATAGGCGTCCATGAACGACAAAGTTTTGTAGCCGGCCGAGTTGTCGACCAGCATATCTATGTTGGGCAAGGGGAAAGCATCTTTCGGGCAAGCCCCGTTGAGATCAGTATAATCAACGCACATTCTCCATTTTCCATTATTCTTTTTCACAAGTACAACATTTGACAGCCAGGTGGAGTACCGGGCTTCAGAAATAAAATTTGCCTCTAGGAGGTCTTTTACAGCTTTTTCAGCAGCCTCCGTTTTTTCTGGAGACTGCCTACGCCTACGTTGTACTACGGCCTTGGCGGCTGGATCAATGGCGAGGTGGTGACAGGCGACCTCAGGGTCGAGTCCGGGCATTTCCGCAGCGCTCCAGGCAAAGAGATCAGCATTCTCGCGCAGACAGGCCTTGATTTGCTTCCTGGCCAAGTCGGGGAGGTCTTTGCCAATCTTCACTCCTTTGGTCGGGTCTGCGCCGAGGGGAACGAGTTCAAAATCCCCGTCCGAAATTGGGCGGAGTGGGATTTGCTCGCTGCTGGATGGCTCGTCCTGATCGAAGCGAGCGTCGAGGGCTATGGAGTCGACCTTTGGTGGAGCCTTCTGGACTTCTTCTTCGGGTGACGCTTTCCTGTCGGGCTCCTGTTTTATCCTTTTAGCGGGTCTGGTCCCTATGTCGACGGTATCCCGTCCCTTAGAAGCAGCGTTGCAGCACCTACGGGCAGCGGCTAGGTCTCCTTGGATGGTGGCTACCCGTGCCCTTCTGGTGTAGAACTTCATCTTCAGATGGACGGTCGAGGGCACCGCTGTTAGCTCTGCCAGTGTCGGTCTCCCCAAGATGCAATTGTATAGAGACGGGCAGTCAATGACGAGGAACCGGACCTTAACTTGTCTCGTAGCCGTTCCTTCGCCGAACGTAACCAGGAGCTCGACATAACCCTAAGGTTTGGAAGTCGAGCCGTTGAAGCCTTGTAGATCCGACCCCACATATGGAGAGAGATGTGAGTCGTCCAGTTGTAAGGTTCGGAACAGCTGGCTGTACATCACGTCGACGGAACTCCCTTCGTCGACCAGGATGCGATGCACGTCAAAATTGGCCATTCTTGCCCTTATCAGTAAGGGGATGACCGCGTTCGGGGCTCCGCCGGGGAGCTCTTCTAGGTAGAAGGTGATGGGCTCTGACCTGCCCTTCACCCTTTCGAACGTTACAGTTTGAGGGGGAGCCATGTCGACCAGCTCGTCCAACTTCCTCTTAGCTGAGTTGATGGTGAGGTCGTTGAACCCGCCCCCGTTGATGACCATGGCGGAGGGGAAGTATTCCCACCTGCTGTGCGTTGTCAGCGGCTCCTGCAGGTGCTCCGGAATGTCAAAATCCTCGGGCCTGGTTACCGAGAAGGCGGTCTAGATAGGCACCGACTCGTCTGATGGTCGGGCGTCTTCTTCGGGCTCCTTGGTTTCATGGGCGTCACGACGAGGAGCGTCGTTTCGCCTGTACTGCGCGAGCCTCCCTCCCTTGATGAGGGTTTCAATGGCGTCCTTGAGGTGGACGCAGTCCTCTGTCAAATGGCCATGACTCCTATGGTATTGACAGTATTTATTTTTATCTGCCCCTGGCTTGGCGGGAGCAGGTCGAGGACGCTTGACGCCGCCGTCCTTGAAGTCTGTACTCGCACACTCCGCCAAAATACGCTCGCGGGAAGCTGTGAGCGGAGTGTACTCGGTGAAACGGCCCGAGGGGCCCCTTTGTTCCCGGACTTCCCGGGGTCGATCTTCTTTCCTTTTCTCCCTGGTACGTCGGGGAGGAGCCTCTTGGCGTGAGTTGCTGCTGTTGTTGGGACCCCGAGCCCTAGAGTCTCTGGCCCTGTTGGCAGCTTCCCTCTCCTCGTAGTCCATATATGCTCGGGCCTTATCGAGGAGGGCATCAAAAGTCAGGGGTGGCTCAATACCCACAGCCTTTCTGAATTCTGTGCCGGGGAGGAGACCTCTCTCCAGCAAGTATCTTTTCATATGGTCCGCGCAGGGGACCTGTATTGCTTCTCGGTTGAAGCGGTTGATGAACTCCCTCAAGGTTTCATCCTGTCTTTGGATGATGGCCTCGAGGGCCGCCTCGGTCTTCGGATGGCGCCGAGATGCTGTGAAGGAACTGATGAACTGGTTCTTCAAATTCCGCCAGGACGTGATTGAGCCCGGGGCGAGTCCTTTATACCAGTCCATGGCCGCCTTCCTGAGAGTTGTGGAGAAAAGATGGCACTTGATGGGCCCCCCGACGTTATGATAATGGAGCATGGCCTCGAACCCGTCAATATGGTCGACCGGGTCTGCGACTCCGTCATACTCCTTCAGGTGTGGGGGCTTCTCCATGCCCGGGGGGATGGGTGCATCCATGATGGCCTGCGACAGGGGACCGCGGGGGTCGTCCTCGTCGCTCCTCTCCGGAGACAAAGATGGGGACCTGTAGTATTGTCTAGCACGGTGGTCGTGTTGAGTTTCCCTCGAGCGTGATGCTCGGTGGTTGAATGTTACACGCCCGTCCCTGGCGTGTCTCTTGTCGTGCCTCGCCGGGTCGCGGCTGGGTCCTCCGGCGGGGATGATGGGATCTCTCTCCAGATATGGTCGCCTCTGCTTTGGTCGGGGAGAGGGGCTTATGGAGTTCTCCCTGTAGTGTCTCCGCGGGGGAGAAGGGTGTCGAACTTCTGTGACCCGAGGAGGTGGAGAATATGGCCTCCGATGCCTCCTCGGGGGTCTTCTGTCATCTTCAAGCGCCCTTAGTCTTTCTCCTTGGGCGAAGATGAGATAGTTTGTCTGATTAATGGCCGCGAACAGTGCCTGAGTCGTGGCATCTGCCCCGGCGGGAACTGGGACCTCGTGGAACCGGGCAGCTCTGTAATGAGCGAGAGCCACCGGGTCGTCTTCGAGTGGTGGTGGGAGCGGGGAGGATGATGAGGTGGCCCCGTCCCTGTGCGAGGAAGTTCCGAGGACGGTGGTTGCAGGAGCGGTGTTGACGGGATTGACGACGTTGTCGAGATGCCCGTTCTTGTCCGTCGTGCCGTTATTGGTCTCGGTGATACGGACGTTCTGCTCGTCGCGAGTTGTATCAGCCATGACAGGTAGTTGAATTTTGAGCTTTGGTCTTTTAAGTTGTTCGTAAGACGGGGAAGCTAGTTCCCACAGACGGCGCCACTGATCTGACCTGATCAGAAATGGACCGTCACGGCTGGCTCCGAGCAGAAAGCTTTTTGAACGAAGTGGGGGGGGTACCTGCAAGGCACTCCGATGCTGAAGTAAGTAGAAGTACGAGCAGGTAATAGCAAGTGTATGGTTAGAATGATGAATACCTGACCCTCTGGAAACAGAGGGTATTTATAGCCCTCAGCGCTGGGCCAAGGTTCCTTCATTGGGTCGGGCAGGTTTGGCCCAATGGAGGAACTGCCAGGTTCTACGTGCGTAGTGGGGACCCGCACGTGGTCCCCTTCCTGGATGTTCTGCGTGAAGTGCGGGCGGACGGAGACGCGGTCTTTTCGGGGCCTCGTTGGGAGTGCAGTGGACTGAGTCTTCCCTAGTTGGGGTGCTCGAGGCGATGTCGTGCTGGACAACAGGATGTCGAGCTGGAGATGCAGAGGTTGAGCACGTGACCTCAGGGAGCACGTCGGGCACGACTGTGACCCTTTGGTCGGCGTGTTCCTCAGCTGGAGATGCAGAGGTCGAGCACGTGACCTCAGGGAGCACGTCGGGCACGACTGTGACCCTTCGATCGGCGTGGTCCTCAACAAGTCTATTTGGATTGGGCATTGGCAATGCTTTTGGGCCTGTCGGGCCCAGTCCAGAACAATATATAATATTTATTATGTATTGATAAATATTTAATTTGTAATAAGTATTTATTAATATGTTTATCTATAATATAAGAAAGTCAGATCTATTTAAATAGTCAATTTTATCTTTTTGTTTCAAAATTACAACACGTGGCTTTCTAACAACATTATTTAATTTTGGAATTTTTTATCTACACAAGCCAAGCCACGTTCCATTTTTTATTCTTTATCTCTTGCTCTCTATCACTCGTCTGTTTCATTTCTGTACTTCCATCATCACTGATAACAACGGTTTCTTCTTTTTGTCCTTCCAACTCCTCCCATATTACTCTACAAGTGTTTCATCTTGCATCTTCCTCTTCCCTCTTTCTAATACATGTCTCTATCGATTTTCTTTCTTCTACCTCTTCATCTTTTTCTTCCTCTCTCTTCCGTTTGCGCTTCTGTGGTTGCGAGGTATGAGGCAAAAATCAGGAGGGCTAGGAGGTATGTGAAGCTGTTATGGTGTAAGTTTGTGGCACTGAGGTTTAACGAAGATTCAAGTTGAAGGATTAAGGAGAGGCTGTGAAGGTTTGAGAGAGATATTGTTAAGTGTGAATGGAAGATAGAATCGTGAACGAAGGTTATGGGGAAAGATGGATACTTGTGGGACGAATAAGCTTCTCAACTTCCGCTACAGAAAAAACTTCAGATAACCTCCTCCTAATAACAACGCTGACGTCTCAGAAAATCGCCGTTGGCCTCAGATTAAGAGATGTATCGTTGAAGTATATTATTCGTGGGTTTTTAGAAGGATCTATGTTTGAACTGCTCCTGAATTTTGTGAAATTGATTTAGGTTTTGCAATTAATACTGATCTTTAGTTAGTTTCATAAGTTGGATTTTATTGTATGATCAATCTCTGATGAACTTTTCATGTAATGTTGTTTAGAGCCAGCAAGATGCAGTAATCCCTTTTCAGATTTTAGGAGGTGAAGCTCAAGTGGTTCAGGTATATGCGACTATCCTGACTCTTGAATGTCAATTTTTTCTGTCTTTCTTTTAATATTATCAACATTTTATAATTATGTAACATCTTTCATCACTGGGTTCTTGCAATACAGATAATTAACGGGGCCAAAGAGATCCTAGATCCTGTAGTAAAAGCATATATGAGAAGAGATCCTGCAATATCAGTTTCATCTCTTTTTTACATCTTTCTCTGGTAGTAGCTCCGTTCCAGTTTCATAATGCTATTCATCTCTAAATATACCTCACCACATATACATTTGTTTTCATCATAAAGTGTTATGTCTCATCAAAACATCAAGATTTCAAAATTCCTATGCAACTTTCTTTGCATTATATTTAAAAATTCCTATGTAATTGTGTTATATTCATCTGATAACACTATTCATGTGGCAGAACCATTTTGTTACATGCCGCCGGAGTATGACAATTTATGCTTATTTTATTTTTATGTGGTTGATGATAGAATTAGAAGTTTTAAAACTGTAAAGTTTGTCCACTGATTTTAATTTTACCTTTCACATTTGTGCAGAAATGCTTATGGACTTATTTATCACAAAATGTGTTTGATTCCCTTATACCGGCTTTGTTGGCAAACAAGAATCGTAAATTCATCTATGTTGAACAGGCAACACTCACAACTATATCCAACTTAGTTGATTGCATTTTCTTTTAGGATCTTGAATGATGAAGTTGAATATGTTCAATGTTTGTTGTATTGCAGTCATTCTTCCAGCGTTGGTGGACAAAACAGAATAAGGATAGTAGTATTCTTCAGATTATTAAAATTAAACATTGATATAGATATTTTATGGCCCTTTCCGTGAGAGTTATGAACCTCCAACAAGTAATTTCCACTTTTAAGTAAATGACGAATCTCCATTTGCTCAGATAAAATCTGAGTTAAAAATAGTTGTAAGGCTTATTAGCTATTGATTGAAAATATGTGTTAAGTAAACTTAGTGTTTTTTTAACTTGAAGGACGAAATCAATTTGTTTGATTACAATGTCTCTGATCGAGTAAATGATTTTGTCTCAGCTGCAATATCATATGTATGCGTTATAGAATAAATGTTTACTTCTATGTGATTTCTTCATCACTGATTTGAACTTCATTTGTTGTTTAGGATGCCTAAAGACTGTTTGGTTGAGTCTTCAAGTGCCGTTATAAACACCCAGTCTCATGTCTGGTAACAGAGCTCTTCAACGCCCCATCTCAGTCCATACGAAAACTTCTTTTGATAACACAGACCAACTCCACGGCCACTTCTTCTTCTTGAATCAGACTTAAATTCTAATACACAACAATACCAAATCCATACTTTGAAAATATTTTGTATTATGAATCACAAAACAATAATGATTGGTTCTAGTTCAAATAGGCTATGTCATTATTGTAACACCTCTATTTAACAATAATCATTTTATATAAGTGTTATCATGGAACTGGTACCAAGATAAAAATTCTTCGAACCATAACAAAAACAGGAGAGAAGGTAAGTTCCTTAATAATTTTATGTGGCTTTCATTCTGCATCACCCACTTTTCAATACTTTGACTTGATTTTGTCAGGAAATTACTGTAATTGTTTTTGTTTGCTTTGTATGTTCTATTTTCAGTGTGAAAGTAAGCCATGTATTGTTGTTCAGTGCAATTACAATGAGATTGATATTAACGTATGAACATATAATTTTGATAAAGAGGATACAACAATTTCAATCATTGAGCTACTAATTTCCTCTGTAACTGTGATTTGTCATTTCATACAATGTAACAACATTTTATGATCTATGCTTGGTTCAGTTAGGTAGTAGCACAGTCAGTTATGTAGTAGCACAATTTCAATGTTGTTTTTCACTATAATGCTTCCGACCTCAAACCGAGCCGACAAGATTTGCACATCCAAATCAAAATGTGGCACAATTCCGTCTCTGCCGGAAAAATATAAGTAATCATCATACATTATGCAAGTTTATCACATATTTATTTTTTGGTTTATTCAGAATTTGGCGTGAGTAGCTTGTGATTTAACTTGAGCACAGTTTTATTTTTGTCTATTGGATCTTTTATTGCCTGTTCTTTCCTGTGTCGTTTCAGGAATGCCACTGCTATTGTCAAAGATCACGTCATTATATAATTATAGAAATGAAATATGATGTTAAGATAAGCATGTCTTCACCTTTATAAGATTTAATACCAAATCCTGCATGTTTAATTATGAATGCATTATTGCTACATGCTTAACTGAAATATGCATTGAATAGTTTAGGTTTTTATTGATTATTTATGTACAAGTCTGTTATAGATTAGGATCTAAAACAAGATATCTATAATACAGTTTAGAAAAAAGTATCTGTTTCTTGAGGTTTTAAATATGTTTAAGTATTTAGTCATGTGGCTGGAGATTCCCAAATATTTGTCCTAATCATTGTCTCACTGTTTGTTTTGCAGGAGCTGCAGCAACATATGTCATATTTCTTTTGACATTGAATTTGATAATTGTATCAACTTACTGTGTTGATAATTTGTACATTATGCCATCATTGTTGGCCTTTGTTTTGTGATAAGCCCTGTTTGTATATCCAAACTTAGAGAAAGATCTCCATAGTCAGAGGAAGACCTTCATAAATCCACCATATCCAACCTTGAAGGCATAGACAACTCTATAGAAGCTAAAATATAGAAGAACGGTAGAGTGTCGAACATAATTGGTACTATAATTATATTGTTTGAGACTATATAATTAATGGTTAAAATAGTGATACACTCATCCATCAACATCAGAACTAAAGTGATATTTTATGCAAATTCATTATAATTAAGGTGGCTTTATTTCTGTTCGAAGTGGGGCATATAATAATATGCAGAATAATTGACAACTTAACCATGAGGATGGTAGCAAAGAAAAAAGTGGTGAGTGGATCTTTGTACTTCAATCATTGGGATCCAGGTGAAAGTATGTTGAAGACAAAAACGGAAACCGATGTATGTTGTCAAAGTATTGCACCTACAAATAGTCTGAAGTAGTTGTCAACCTTTAGGTCAAGGTTGTTTTGAGAGGTGTATTGTTAGGATGTCGAATAATGGTTAGTTAGAGTAGTTAACGTAGTTGAGGGTTGTTATAGAAGTTAGTTAGTTAGTTGAGGTTGTTTATAGAGCTATTTGTATAATGTAGAGTTGATAACTTGATATCATTGAATATTGTAAATAATTTGTGAATAGAGTACCAACTCTGTTGAGAAGGGGAAACTCTTGAGGGAGAGCTTGCTCTCATGTTATTTTCTATTTTTGAATGAAAGTGTTCTTTCTTTGGAATCGCTGGTGACACTATGCTTTAAATCTAACAAACGTGTATTCATAAGAGCATTAAACAGTTGTGAAAGATAAAAAGAAGATTACCATAGAAAAGAGGGTGTCACATGACAAACGCCATGTAATCATGATTTCATGTAGTTAATTAGTTCCTGAAACTTTGGTATGAATGTACATCTTTTAAGCTCCATTTCATATTTTTGCTCAAGATTTTTCTTTCTACTGCCTTTTAATTATAGTATAGTATTATTTTTGGGCTATATTTTCATTGTGGAAATAAAATGTATTTTGTTCTAACTTTTTATCTTTCATATATTTTGCAGTTACTCCATAGTATATCATGTTAATTTGTATTTAGGGTATTGGCAATGGTTTGCCATTAGGAACTGTAGTTACAACTCCACAAATAACAAGTGTGATAGCCTAGAAGATTCAATTTAACACTTTTGGTGGAACCATGTATGTTCTGTCTGGGGTCTTGCAGTCCTCAAGGTTCTGGATAACGACAAGCGGGTGGCTCATTACGCTGATGTTGGTTCTCACTTGCTTGAGCGTTTGAGATACTTCAGCAACGACATGACAGTATGTCATTTTTTAATATAACATCTTCGTAATGGTTAATTTTGGAATACAGTATTTTATGGTATGTTTGTACTTTCGAGCTATCTATATAAAAGCCTTATTAGGTTAAGGGATTTTTATTGCATGATTTGAGCCTGGTTATTGATCTATTATATAGTTTTAGTATGTAGCTTTTAACACAAAAGAATGTTTCTCACAACAATTTTGTTGATTATTCTCATAGTTATTATTATATAATGTGACAGTCATTGTAAATTGATTTTAATCAATTACATTAAATACTTATTACTAATTAAATTATATAATTTGTTTAAATATTTATTCAATATAATTTATCAATTTAATATTTTTATTATTATAAAATATTTTTATTATCATCAATTATTTTTAAACAATGTTATTTTTTTTTAAACGGGACTAAGTTTACTATTGATTCATATATTTTTACATATAATGTCAAAATAAAAATAATATTTATTATTTTTATAGACGGAAAAAAATATATTATTGATTCAAATCCTAATTTATAATTTTTTTTAAATATGGGTTATGATATGATACACACATATGGTATTGATATTAAACTATTGATTTAAATATTGAATAATAACAAGAATAGTTTAGTATTGATTTAAATATTTTTATAAATAATTCATAAAAAAAATATTTATATATATGAATAATTATACTGTTAATTCAAATATTTTTATATACGTAAAATGTTATAGAAATCGATTTATTATATTTTAAAAAAATAATAAACTATTGTGAGTTTGTAACCTCACTTCTTTCACCTTCTCAGCGCCTCCAAAAGATTTCTCCAGGATCTCCCAAGCTTCTTTTGCAGATTCTGAATCACTAATCTTTTCGAAGTTGTCTGGGCTGACACATTGATGAATTATAAACAATGCTTTATAACTCTGTTTCTCAGATTC